CACAACTGTTTGTGGATGTTTGTCTAGTACATTGTCCACGGTATTTACAAGATGATTCATTAGATCGATCTCTGCATAATTAAATTTTGGAGGATGATAAACTCCACATATTACAAATCGATGTCCCTTGGGAAGTCGCAGAGTTATACAAATTAATTCATAAAGACTAGAGCGGTAAACATCCTCTACTGCAAGATTGTTCCTGATGTATATAGCAATCCCACCCTTATTGCGCATATCTCTGCCATTCCAATTTCTGTCTCTACGAAAGATGGAATAGTTCTCAATATTTACAATCGCATCCGGTTGTGCCGGTTTGAGGTGTGTTTCCGATACGACACAAACATCAATATCTTTAGATCGTAAGTCAGCCTCAAGTCCAACCACCGCACGCACTCTGTTCTTAGTTTTTGAGAGACTGCAAATATTGATGAACATACACTTGGGAACGGCAAACTCCGAGCAATCGGTAGATGATTTAGTAGGCTCTCGAGGAATAGCTGTAAGATATCTGTTCTTAGCGGGATCTTGGATGCGATAAGGTCTAGCAAACCGCCGGGTTTTAACAACTTCAATGGGTCGACATCTGTCGGAGTGTTGCGATGCAGAGATATTTTTAGTAATTTTCCCCAATCTTCGTAATCCCGGACCTCTGTATTTCAGAATTCCCAGGGATTTAAGGGTATCGAAAACATGAGGCGCAGGTCGGCCCGCCGAACGTCTCAGCGAAAGTAGCCTGTCACGATTGTGAGAGCAATGGATTCTGACTGACCCAATTGCAGGTTGACAAGCAGAGTCCGAGGAGTTGGAGCTCTGTTTTCGTTTACCGTGGTCATTATCCACTTCTTCAGGTCCAGGATGTGGATGGACATCCATATTAACAGTAATGTCGAGCACAACAAACTTCTCAGGGGCGGCCAGGAAAACCATGCCTCGACTGTCCCATTTCACCATAGCCTTTCTTACCCGGAGATTTCGAGACCGGGATACTCTCAGCTCAAATCTAGCCATCCAACTAATGCATCTTGATGTTAAAGATTGATTTCGATAAGCTCTTTCGACTGTTATCATAGTTATAAAGATAAATATATAGAAAACTGCAATAGCTCTAAAGAGCGTGGCAGCCATATTGGCATGCATATATTCTGCATATATTCTCTGCATTCATATATTCTCTGTAGACTCGTGATCAGAGGCTAGATGCTAAAAGCTTAAAGAGCCACAGCAATCGGTTCTTTCTTCTAGTGACAGGATCGCGTTGTCATCAGTGAAAATTAAATAGTAGTTACAATGTTTACTTCTGTTTAATTGGCCTTGTAATGGGTCCTTTAAGCAGCATCATGGAAATATATATGATATCTGAGTGTGCTTGACAACTCTGTTCTCTTTTAGAACATTAGGAGTGGCGAATGGTCCTTAAAAAACTCTGGGTCTCGCAAAATTTTAGTCGAATTTCGTAGGCCTCGCAGTCCCGTTTTTTCAGCAGTTATGTGCGTCTCGCAGTCTCATTTTTTATACGAAGGTATCTCGGAGTCTCGATTTTTTGCAAGGCTATGGGTGTCAAAGTCCCGATTCGTTTGTTCGTTTTTTTAAATGACGTCTTCTCGTCACTTGATATTTTAATATCAAAAGTGTTGTTCACAATACTTTATTCAAGAGAGGAAAATCAAAAATTACAAAAATATCTCTCAAAAGGGGATATCTAGAGGTTAACCCTTTATAAAAGATTCCCCGAAATAAAAAGTAAAAAGGTAAACCAAAACATTATATACAGATAATTAAAAACTATTTACCATCCTCTCAGTCAATATTCATGTAAATCTTTAATCTGTTAAGAGATAAAGTCAATGAGCCTGCGTGTCCAATATCTTTAGGCAAATTATTCCACATATTAACGATCCGTACAAAGAAAGAAAATTTGTAGCAATTTAAAATGGCTACTTTTACATAGAGCTTATAATCGTGATTGGCTCTAGTTCGATTACATTTAGTAAGTTCAAACAATTCCGAAAAAGGAAGACTATCTGTTCCGAGAAATATCTTAAAGCACTGGTTTAGAGATAAAAACCCTCTGCGTTTCTCCAAAGTTTGCCAATTCAATAAGTGGCAACGGTCGTCATAGCTCATTTCTTCGCGCTTTTGCTTTAACGCCAACCGAGATGCCCTTCTTTGGACTTTTTCCAAGGATTCGATATCCTTTTTCTGGTAGGGGCTCCAGACGGGGGCAGTTTATTCAAGTATAGGTCTTACTGACGACTTAGAGAGGCAAGAAAACGCATATCGATTATCGTTTCCAAGTGATCGCCTGATTATATCTAACACTTTGTTCGCCTTGTTTACTATGTAGAAAACGTGTGTACTCCAAGACAGATCGTAGTTTAATGTGACCCCTAGGTCCTTGGCACTGTCAACAGATTTTAGTTGCGTACCAAGGGAATAGCTTGGATTAGATCTGTCTCTGCCGTGCGTTACACGCATAACTTCACATTTTTCAGGATTAAAGCGCAACTGCCACTTATTAGCCCAATCACTTAATTTGTTCAAGTCCAGCTGTAAGGCTGGTATATCCTAATCAGGCTCAATGATCTTGCGATAGATTTTAGTATCATCAGCGTATATTTTCATGGTCGATGTAATGTTTGCCAAAATATGATTTATATAAATAATGAATAGGATTGGG